ACCTCACACTGCAGGGGGGTCAGTCAGAAGGCACCAAGGGGCCACAGGCAGAGGATCACCTGGGTACTGCTGGCGCCTCGGACTGAACACCAATTTGCTTCTCATTCCACAGATTTGGAGGGCTTGGAATTTATTCCAATAAGGGTGGTCTTCAATAGCCAATACCTTGGAAGACCTGACACCCAACACCCTCTCCTCCTGATATGACCGCACTGAGCAGGTAGGGGTCCTGGCAAATATCTGCCCTCCGAAGCACCTGTTTATCCCTCGGGCACAGTAACCAGCGGGTGAACCCCATTCAATATTTATCCCCATGGCTTTCACAGATCAGCAGCCCAAGCGAGGCAAACCCTCTTAATTAAAACTGGAGCTTGCTTCAAAGGGCCCCATTCAGGCCATCAGTCAGCGCTCGTGGGACAAAGGGATCCGGGTCACGTAGCTGGAGTGAAACCAGAGACGATTGAGCTTTTTCGACTACACTTTCCCTCCTCTTCTTTTTCCACCTCTCACCATCCACAGCTCTCGTTCCAAACCACACACCTGCAGTAGGTTAAGATGCTACCATGAGAGTTACAACACCTTGGTGAATCGTGGACCGGCTTTGGTGGTGCTAGTCTGGCTGTTACAAACCTGGTGGTTTCTGAAGCCTGCAGAAAACCCCTGAACCCTGTCATGTTATTTAACGCTCTTAATGTGGCAGCACCTGGAAGCCAAAAGAAAGATACCAAAACCATCACAGAAACCAGCACTCAGTGTGGGAATAACCTCTCACTATATACATATATATATATGCGGAAATAACGCAATGAACTCAAAACTGAGCTGCAAGCTCGTAGGTTTCAGAGGAACCCGAGATCCCATATTTAAAGATGGCTGCGCCCAGTGCTACCAGGAAGTAGTGTTTTTTTCCCTCATTTATATGTTCTGTTTTCTTTCGTTTAGCTACTTAACAGCACAGAGTAGTTGTTTATTGTTGTTATCAATAGTTACATTGTTGAAAAATTCAGTATTGTCGCCAAAGTTGACTGGTGTTTATGGTTTTTACTTTTGCTGACAATTATATATTTACATTTGAATTGTAATGTTCTTCTGGTTGTATGAAGTAGCTGTCAATGGGCGTGTGTGTCACTACTGTTTAGGTGCAGAGAATAGGTTATAAGTTTTTTTGGTTAAGTTCTTTTAACAACACTGGTGGCGTCCATTTTTTCTGAGTTGAAAGCTGGAACGCAAAACAAGCCCATTACCTCATTTCCTGCTTAAACATTCCGAGTTCCGAGGACAACTGGAACGCAGCATCAGTCTGGAATTTACCCACATTAAGATACATTTAACTTTATATATAAAAGACATTTAAAACAAAAAATATGACACCATATGGTATGGCCGTTTATTTCATCATAAATAGTATCATAGGTTACCGTGTTAATTTCCTATGAGGTGTTAAATCTGAACTAAACCTAAGAAAAAGCTCATTATCTCCTCAGAAGTCTGATTTTTTTTTATTGTTAATGTGGTGGAGCATAGTGTCACCCAGTGGTGATACTGGTGAGTGGATTTGTGATTCTGAACCTACCAACACAAATTATTAAATAAGCTCATCAAGTGGAAACCAGTTGCTGAATTTATAAGGAGTTTTTAATCAAGAGAAAACCCGTCTGAACACGGATAAATGACTCTCCTCTGTCCCGACTGTGATTAATGGAACAACTAGAAGAAGTAAAATTACTGGGAGTAGTTGATTGTAAGTTATCCAGATATATATATATATATATATATATATATATATATATATATATATATATATATATATATATATATATATATATATATATATATATACATATATACAGGTGCTGGCCAGTAAATTAGAATATCATCAAAAGGTTGAAAATATTTCAGTAATTCCATTCAAAACGTGAAACTTGTACATTATATTCATGCAATGCACACAGACCAATGTATTTCCAATGTTCATTACATTTAAATTTGATATTCATAAGTGACAACTAATGAAAACTCCAAATTTGGTATCTCAAAAAATTAGAATATTCTGAAAAGGCTGAATATAGAAGACACCTGCTGCCACTCTAATCAGCTGATTTACTCAAAACACCTGCAAAGGCCTTTAAAAGGTCCCTCAGTCTTGTTTTGAAGGCACCACAATCATGGGGAAGACTTCTGACTTAACAGCTGTCCAAAAGACAATCATTGACACCTTGCACAAGGAGGGCAAGACACAAAAGGTGATTGCTAAAGAAGCTGGCTGTTCGCAGAGCTCTGTGTCCAAGCACATTAACAGACAGGCGAAGGGACGGAAAAAATGTGGTAGAAAAAAGTGTACAAGCTCTAGGGATAACCGCACCCTGCAGAGAATTGTGACGACAAACCCATTCAAAAATGTGGGGGAGATCCACAAAGAGTGGACTGCAGCTGGAGTCAGCGCTTCAAGAACCACCACGAGGAGACTCATGAAAGACATGGGATTCAGGTGTCGCATTCCGTGTGTCAAGCCACTCTTGAACAAGAAACAGCGCAAGAAGCGTCTCGCCTGGGCCAAGGACAAAAAGGACTGGACTGATGCTGAGTGGTCCAAAGTTATGTTTTCTGATGAAAGCAAGTTCTGCATTTCCTTTGGAAATCAAGGACCCAGAGTCTGGAGGAAGAGCGGAGAAGCACAGAATCCACGTTGCATGAGGTCCAGTGTAAAGTTTCCACCGTCAGTGATGGTGTGGGGTGCCATGTCATCTGCCGGTGTTGGCCCACTCTGTTTCCTGAGGTCCAGGGTCAATGCAGCCGTCTACCAGGAAGTTTTAGAGCACTTCATGCTTCCTGCTGCTGACCAACTTTATGGGGATGCAGACTTCACCTTTCAACAGGACTTGGGACCTGCACACAGTGCCAAAACCACCAGCACCTGGTTCAAGGACCATGGTATCCCTGTCCTTGATTGGCCAGCAAACTCGCCTGACCTTAACCCCATAGAAAATCTATGGGGTATTGTGAAGCGGAGGATGCAATACGCTAGACCCAACAATGCAGAGGAGCTGAAGACGACTATCAGAGCAACCTGGGCTCTCATAACACCTGAGCAGTGCCACAGACTGATCGAGTCCATGCCACGCCGCATTACTGCAGTTATTGAGGCAAAAGGAGCCCCGACTAAGTATTGAGTGCTATACATGCACATTCTTTTCATGTTCATTCTTTTCAGTTGGCCAACATTAGAGAAACAAACATTTTTTCATTGGCCTTTAGAATATTCTAATTGTCTGAGATACCAGATTTGATGTTTTCATTGGTTGTCACCTATAAATATCAAAATTAAACGTAATAAACATCGGAAATACATTGGTCTGTGTGCATTGCATGAATATAATGTACAAGTTTCACATTTTGAATGGAATTACTGAAATATTTTCAACCTTTTGATGATATTCTAATTTACTGGCCAGCACCTGTATATATATGCCAGATTAATTATGTTTTACAGAAAATGGGGAGAGGTATGGGCATAATTAAATTTTGTTGCAAATATATACCACAATACTTACTTAAAAGCCTTGTTCAATCGTTAGTGCTTTCTTGTGTAGATCAAGCATCTATTATTTGGTCAAGCATCTATTATTTGGTCAAGTACAACTGAAAATAATTTGCATAAGCTACAAGTAGCACAAAATAAAGCTGCTCGTATTGTTTTAGGCTGCCCTTACAGAACGAATGTGGGAACTATGCATGAAAAACTTGCTTGGCTGAATGTGAAGAGTAGACTGAAGTATTTCTTGGTAACAATTGTGAGGAAATTTATAATTACAAAAACACCAAAAATTATACATAGCAAATTATTGTTTTTCTCAGATAATCATACTTACAATACACAACAGATAAATGAGATGAAAGGTGTTTTACCACACAGTAGAACAAATCAAATTCAATGATCATTTCACTATAAAGCTATGATTGCATGGACTGCATTACCTAGATTTTTAATATTTGAAAGTAATAACATTCCTTTCCAGAAGAAACTGAAATTGTTTTTGTTTACACACTTAATTGTATAGTGACTATGAACTCTGTAACGAAGGATTGGGTATCTCAGGTTTTGAGATTGAATACTGGATATCGATGGACTATGATGCGTAACAATGGACATGAGGTCACCATTCTGTTGTATTTTATTTTCAATCTTTATTGGTGTGATTAACTCCTCTCCTGATATTAGTTTACATATGTAATTTTGTTCTAGATATGTGATTTCATCTTGAGCTACTGGTATTATGTAAATTAGGGATGTGTGTGTGTGAGCGTGCGTGTGTGTGTGTGTGTGTGTGTGTGTGTGTGTGTGTGTGTGTGTGTGTGTGTGTGTGTGTGTGTGTGTGTGTGTGTGTGTATGTGTGTGTGTGTGTGCGCGTGCGTGTGTATCATCTTATGTAAACATTGTATAAAAATGTACGAAACCCCAGGAAGACTAGCATCTGCATTTAGGCAGAAGCTAATGAGGATCTCAATAAAACGAAACGAAACTTCTGCCACTTTCTCACAGGTGGTATTATTTATTTTACTGGTCAACCCTGAGCTGACAGAACTTCAGCTTCAGCAACCAGTGCCTGGATCTCTCCATCACTGAAGTTTGTCTCTTTACTTTGTTCGGCAGGAATGCAGGGATTTCTCTCATGTGCTGAGGACGTGGCGTGACCAGATATGGTTAACTTAGGGTGTTTCTGTATGTAAATGAGTCTGAACGGACACGAGTACCTGGTTACACACACGTGGGATTGCAGAGGAACAAGTGTACAAGAAGCCACTGCATGTTTTGTAAATTAGGATTTTGTACATTTGTACAAACATTCTAAATTTCATTATTTAGAAGGAATATAGGACAGTTTCACAAAGTCTGATGAATGAGGGCCCCTCCTGCTTTACATTTAGCAGACAACAGCACCCCCTTGTGCCAGAAGAGCCACATAATCCAGGCTGATTCCCTCTACGTGGTGTGTACTTACGCTGCATGAAGGGGACAAACCAGCTGCTTTGCTGCTTGTTGCTGCTGCACTCTTTTCAGGACTTGGTGGCTGATTTTCCTGCTCCGAGCTGGAAATTAGGGTTCCTGGCTGCCATTTAGGGTTCTGGAGTAAACAGAATTCTCATCACACTGTGTGTAACACAAGCATAAATGTAAGTGTAATTGTTGAATAAAGCACTTTAAAAAACACAAAGTGTTGTACAGCAAAAGACAGGTTAATGATAATAAAATCACAGAGACAAGCAGCAATAAAAACGAGGGCATAAAAACAAAGAGATAACAAAAAGGTGCAAATCCAAAGTATAAAATCATAAAGTAAAAACAGTCATTGCAAAACCATCTTAGTTTGGTCAAAAAACGTCTAAATTCGTTTGCAACTGCTTCGTTCCATATCTGAGGTCAAAAGCATGTTTGTGCTGTAAATCAGAGAAAGCCATGAGCAGGACCACCTTGTGCTCTGAGGAACGAAAGCGTTTTCCCAGTGGCTGAAAGTCTTCATCCTCCTCAGGACTGGAAGGGAGAGAAACCTGGAGCCTTTCAGACAGCTGAGACGCCACAGACTTCCTTCTGCCTCGTGGCGTTTCTGCTGATGGTGCTGAAACCCAGAGTAGATTACATGTAAACACCTGGATTAACAAGAATGAGACAAGAACACATAAAGGCCTCACTCAAATGTAACCTGATGCGATGAACAAGTAAAAGATCGCTCATGTTAACTGCTGTTATGAAGAAAACACGCTAGTAGACAATTCTTGAATAAAAAACTGCGTATTGCTGCTGTTCGTTGTGGTTCAAAGCCTCACCATGAAACCCAAACTCTACCAAAGCCAGAGTTTAGTTCACTTGTCGGCTCCTTTTGCTGTGTTCACTTTCAATTCAATTCAATTCAAGTTTATTTATATAGCGCCAAATCACGACAAGCGTCGTCTCAAGGCACTTCACATAATAAACATTCCAACACAGGTCAGTTCATTAAGCCAATCAGAAAAAAGTTTCCTATATAAGGAACCCAGCAAATTGCATCAAGTCATTGACTAGTCTCAGAGTCTTTACAGCAATCCTCATACTAAGCAAGCATGCTGCGACAGTGGAGAGGAAAACTCCCTTTAAACAGGAAGAAACCTCCAGAGGATCCTGGCTCAGTATAAGCAGCCATCCACCACGACTCACTGGGGATCAAGAAGACAGAGCAGAGCGCGCGCGCGCATGCACACACACACACACACACACACACACACACACACACACACACCAAGCAATGTGTCTATGGTTACTTAGTAAATATTCTATTTGGTGAGAGATAAACTTTATTGTATTTATCCTAGTGAACCTATAATTAAATGGGTAAACTAGTAGTAGCACATTCAATGTCAAGGAAAGTAATGTGTTATCATCAGGAGAGAGAGAGAGAGAGAATGATTAAATGGTTAGCGACTGAATTTAACAGGTAGCCAATGTAGGGAAGCTAAGACAGGAGAGATATGATCTCTCTTTTTAATTCTCATCAGAACTCTAACTGCAGCATTTTGGACAAGCTGAAGACTTTTACCTACATTCTGTGGACTTCCTGAGAGTAATGAATTACAGTAATCCAGTCTTGATGTAATAAATGCAAGAACTAGTTTCTCAGCATCACTCCTGGAAAGGATGCTTCTAATCTTAGCAATATTCCGAAGGCGGAAAAAGAAAATCCTACAAACCTGTTTAACCTGGGATTTGAATGACATGTCCTGGTCGAAGATAACACCAAGGTTCCTTACTTTGTTCTCAGAGATTAATTTAATGCCATTCAGGTCAGATGATTGACTAAGCAATTTCCTTTTCTGAATTTCAGGTCCAAAGATGAGAACTTCAGTCTTGTCTTGATTTAAAAGCAAAATGTTTTGAGTCATCCATTTTTTAATGTCTTCAAGACAAGCCTGTAACTTAACTAACCGATGAGGTTCATCAGGGTTAATGGATAAATATAACTGAGTATTGTCAGCATAACAGTGGAAGTTTATCCCATGCTGTCTAATGATTTTACCAATTGGAAGCATATATATTTAGTAAAAACAATTGGTCCAAGCACTGAACCCTGTGGTACTCCACAAGTAACCCCTGAGTATGAAGAAGATTTGTCATGTACGTTTACAAAATGAAATCTATCAGACAGGTAGGATTTAAACCAACCTAGCGCTGTTCCTTTGATCCCTACAACATGTTCAAGCCTTTCTAAAAGAACATTGCTATCAACTGTGTCAAAAGCAGCACTGAGATCTAACAAGACTAGAACAGACACAAGATTCTTATCTGAGGCCATGAGAATATCATTTGTAACTCTCACTAATGCAGTTTCAGTGCTGCGATACTCTCTAAAACCAGACTGAAATTCCTCAAACAGATCGTTAGTGTTTAAATGCTCACATACTTGGATGGCCACTATTTTCTGCAGGACTTTGGATAAAAATGGAAGGTTATATATTGGTCTATAACTTATTAATCCTGTGGTGCATATCCATTTACTAAGGATAGATTGATTATATCTAGAATGGGGGCAGTAACAAAAGGAGACCGACTATAGTGAAATTTACTTTCATGTCTCGAGAACTCAGTTATAAAAAACTCAGATTATCAAAAAGTGGTCCGAGAGGACTGGATTATGTGGAAACATTGTTATTTCCTCACACGCTATGCCATAAGTCAGCAAAAGGTCTAATGTTTGATGGCAAGAGTGGGTGGAGCTATGTATTCTTTGGGTAAAACCAATTGAGTCTAAGATATTACTAAAGGCTACATTGAGGCTACCATTTTCAATGTCCACCTGAATGTTAAAATCCCTCACTACAATGACCTTATCAGTATTTAGCACCAAATCACATAAAAAAATCAATTCTGATCCAAAAACTCAGAGTAAGGGCCTGGTGGATGATACAAAACAACAAACGAGTGGTTTTACAGTTTGGCAATCTGGATTAGGAAAACTAAGAGTAAGATGTTCAAAAGAACTGTAACTATTAATTGGTAAGGGATTGAATAGGTCTGAATGAAAAATAGTTGCTACCCCTCCTCCTCACCCTGTACTTCGAGCAATATGATGATTTAAATAATTAGAAGGAGTCGACCTGTTTAAGCTAACATAGTCCTCTTGCTGCAGCCAGGATTCTGTGAGAGAGAGCAAAGAAATCTGATTATCACAAATCAAGTCATTAACTAACAAAGTCTTAGAAAAAATATCTAATGTTCAATACCCCACATTTAATTTTTCTAGTTTTCTGCTCAGTTGAATTTGTTCTAATATGTATGAGATTTCCATGATTTGCTTTATTAAGCCTGATATTTAATCGGTGTGGTTTTGGCCGTGGGCAGGACACTGTCTCTATGGGGTAGTGGGTGGGTAACAGTACAGAAGCTGCAGAGGGGTGTGTTAAACTACAACTTTGCTTCCTGGTCTGGACCCTGGGTTGTCATGGAGGACTAATAAAACTGGTCATGTTCCTAGAAAGAAGAGCTGCTCCATCCAAAGAGGGATGGATGCCGTCTCTTCGCATCACACCAGGTTTTCCCAAAAAGTTTTCCAATTATCAATGTAGCCCACGTTGTTTTCAGGACACCACCTAGACAACCAGCGGTTGAAGGACAGCATGCGGCTAAACATGTCGTCACTGGTCCGATCAGGCAGGGGGCCAGAGAAAATTACGGAGTCCGACATTGTTTTGGCAAACTTACACACCGAAGCAACATTAATTTTAGTCACCTCCAATTGGCGTAACCGGGTGTCGTTACCGCCAGCGTGAATAACAATCTTACTGTATTTACGCTTATCCTTAGCCAGCAGTTTCAGATAAGATTTAATGTTGCCCACTCTGGCCACAGGTAAACATTTAACTATGGTTGCTGGAGCCTCTAATGCCACGTTTCTGACTATGGAGCTGCCAATGATCAGAGTCGGCTTGTCAGTGGGTGCATCACTGAGTGGGGAAAATCTGTTAGAAACTTGAGGGGCATCAGTAACTCAACAGGTTGAGCGGGTTGTCCAGTAATCAGAAGGTTGCAGGTTCGATCCCGGCTCCGGACAGAGAATTCTGCTGTTGTGTCAGCGGCTACATCGTAGCTCATCACCATCAGTGTGTGTGTGTGTGTGTGAATGGGTGAATGATACACTGTAGTGTAAAGCGCTTTGGATTCCTTACTCTGAGAGGTGCTATACAAGTGCGGGTCATTTATTATTTATCATAAACTGAGAGGAACTGTGAAATAGTCTGAAAGCTTTTGCTGTTTGCTTGTTCAAGTTGAATTATGAATAATAATATATGTATTTTTAACTGTGATGTTGAAGCTCAAAGGCAGAATTAAAAAGTTTTTTTTATTATTTATTTAAGGTTAGGTTAGCAATGGTAAAAAGGAAGTGTTGAAATTCATGTGGACAGTTTTTGGATTGCAATCCCTACCAGGTAAAAATCCTAACTCAAACCTTGTGTTCTTCACAGAAACTTACACATTACCTTGTGCAACCATTTTTTAAATCTAAAAGTGTCATTATTGAAAACTGTTACTTATGTAATGTATTTAGAGGAGCACAGACTGAAACATATGAATGATCTTCTAACCATCTGCAAAAAAATAATTTTATACAGATGTAGTTTCATTATAAACCAGGAATTTATTTAATTTCATATCTTTTCAGATCCAATGTGACCACTGCCAGCTGTGGTACCACAGTGACTGTGTTGGCCAGCCTGATGCTGAAGCACCACACAGCTGTTTTTCTTGTGACGAGTAAAAGACACGTTAAGTCTTTATTTAAAATTGTTCCTTCTCTGGATGCCTTCATTTTGCATTTTGTTTATAGACACTGACAAATGTCACCATTGACCTTAAAAGGATGATTAAAGTGTATTTTTGTTCTTATCATACTGTTGTTTTGGGGGGGGGGGGGAGCCCAAAATCTCCGCTGGAACAATTGTTACGCAGTTTACGTAAGCGATCTTCTTCTGTCATTGTAAGACCCAGAAAATGTGAAATAGTCATTAGCGCCCCCCACAGTCACAGACTACGCTAGGTCACCAACACCAGGGAGGTGTGGAATGGAATGCGGGCTATCACTGGCCTGAGACAAGAGAGGTGTTGGGATGGAGGGGGATGTCGAAAGTGCTAACAACCTACAGTAAATCTACACTTCAATAGGTTCGACTGCCCTGCGTCTCCTGTCTCCACAGCCAGCTCTTCCCATCTTCTCCTTCCATCCCCCCCTTCTCCTGCCTCCTCTGACTGTCTCACCCTGTCCCTCTCAGCAGATGACATCAAAAAAGAATTGGGCAGACTCCACCCCGGCAAAGCTGCTGGTCCTGATGGTGTCAGTCCAAGGGCCCTTAGGTGTTGTGCTTCCCAGATGTCTGGAGTTTTACAACGGATCTTCAACATGAGCCTGGAGATGCAGAGCGCTCCATCACTCTGGAAGACATCCTGCCTGGTTCCTGTCCCTAAAAAGATCAACCTGTCGACCCCCAGTGACTAGAGGCCAGTGGCTCTGACCTCACATGTCATGAAGACGCTGGAGAGACTCATCCTAAAACATCTGCGGCTGCTGGTGGAGCCTTGGCTGGATCCCCTGCAGTTTGCTTATCAACCTCGTATCGGTGTGGAGGATGCCCTCATCTTCCTGCTGGACCAGGCTCACCTGGACATTGCTGGGAGCACTGCGAGGGTCATGTTTTTCGACTTCTCTAGTGCCTTTAACATGATCAGACCATCACTGCTGGGGAAAAAGCTCACGGAAATGCAGGTTGACGCCCCCACTTGTAGGATGGATTACGGACTATTTAACAAGTAGACCACAGCATGTTCAACTGATGAGCTGCCGCTCAGATAACATCCTGAGCAACACGGGGGCGCCGCAGGGGACAGTTCTATCACCCTTCCTCTTCACCCTTTACACATCTGACTTCAGGTACAAGTCTCAGTCTTGCCATCTGCAGAAATTCTCTGATGACTCTGCCATCATGGGCTGTATCAGGGATGGTCAGGAGGTGGAGTACAGGAGTGTGGTGGACAGCCACAGTGGTGTGAGCTAAACAACCTACAACTTAACATCACAAAGACTAAGGAACTGATTATGGACTTTAGGAAGCAGGCCCCACCTCCTACTCCTGTCACCATCAGAGGGGCTGACGTTGAGATCGTTGAGGACTACCGGTACCTGGGGGTTCACTTGGACTGTAAACTGGACTGGACTAAGAACATCAATGCTATCTTCAAAAAAGGGCAGAGTCGGCTTTTTCTTCTGAGGCGGCTCAGGTCCTTCAATGTTGGGAGGAAATTGCTGACCATGTTCTACCACTCAGTGTTGGAGAGCGTTGTGTTCTTTGCAGCTGTGTGCTGGGGCAGTGGGGTGAAGATAGCTGATGCCAACCGGCTGAACAAGCTGATTAGAAGGGCTGGGTTTGTCCTGGGTGTTAGACTGGAGAATCTGGAGGAGGTGTCTGAGAGGAGAATGCTAAAAAAGCTTCTCTCTATCATGGACAACCCCTCCCACCCAATGCACGCCCACATGATGGACCATCGAAGCACACGCAGCAAAAGACTCATTGCCCCGAAATGCAGAACTGACCGCCACAGGAAGTCCTTTGTACCGGTGGCAATAGGATTGTTTAACTCTTCCTCACCCTGTAGGTGATTCTCCTAATACCTTTACCTAGGTTATTCTGTTCCCTCCCAGACTGTGCAAGAAGAGTTCTGATTGTAGATATGTTTTTATCCCCCCATCATATCATATGCTGCTACTACCCCTAATTCTATTACACAATACTTTAATCACTTTTGTGAATCGCCTGCACCGACGGCTTAATTACTTATTCACCAGGATACAGTCATGTATTTATTTGTTGAGATATGCGATTGTTTGTTTTGCACTATCCTACAGGGTACTACGGTAGATAATTTTTTACTGTATATATTGTATATCATATTTCTATTTCACCTGTTCCTTTGTCTCTCCTACTGCTTTGAGCATGTACATGACACAAGAATTTCCCTCAGGATAAATAGTTGTTCTTATCTTATCACAGATTTTGCTGTAACACTGGGCTGCAACAACAGGAAGAGCTACTGCACCATTCCTGTTAACATCTATCTAATTCCCAACGACTCTCACAGTGGTGAAAGAGTCCATGTGACCCACTGGGTCGGTGTGGACAACTTCAATTACACCCGCGAAGGTGGACCGCTGAGATCGGACGTTTAGAGACCAGCTCAAACATTATTCGTCACAAAGTGTGCTGCCTCAGTGTTTCTGATGGGAGCTTGAATAAACCCCAGAATGTTTTGAGGATTTATCAGATAGATTCTGACCACTAATTATCTGAGAAATCTCCGTTCTGATGGCTTGGAGCATCAGGAAGTTCATCTGGAGAGAAAAAGCAGACCCGTGTCTCACCTCCATCAGTGAGTGGGAGGGAGAGGGGTTTCATCAAATCCAAACCTCTTGTTTCCGGGTTAAAGGAATGGCTCACAAAAATAATTCTACTTCATAAAAATGATATAAACGGTAATATTTTATCATATACTGTGCTTGTTGCTTTGCAAGGTGTAAAATAGCTTGACACAGGTCCTTTAAAAGAACAGAGTTTACATACAACGTAAGCCCTCCCCCTTCCAAGGGCGGCCCCAAGGGGTGGCCATGGCAACCCCTAGAAAATTGCTGCCCCCCCCCCCCCCCCCCAGGAAAAGCCAGTGTAAACAAATCATATTAATTTTCAGTCAAACCATATATTGATCTTGTTTATTCAAGACATAATTGTAAAACTAAATAAAAATATTACAATTAATGAGTAAAGAAATAATCAGAATTTAAAAAAAAAAAACATGTTTCTGCTGCTCACCATTTTAAATAAGTTTTTATCTCCACAGTTTTTTTAACACAGTAACAGGTGAATTAACCTAAAAAATACATTTTTTAATTAAATTAGGGATAACATTTTAAATAACTTAAATGTATTTTTCTGAAATGTTTGCGTTTGTAAAATTTATAAATGTTTTGGATACGTACGGTTATTTTAATCAAAACTAATAAAGGTGCAATGCAGCACATCGCCACAGGCTAAATTCTCCTAGAGTTACCACAAGGACCAATTTGGTGTGCCACCCCAAAAGTTTTTTTGGCCCCCATCTGGCCACCACTATCAAAATTTTCTGGAGGCGCCCCTGCCCCCTTTGTGCTCCATGTTTCCTAACAGACATTCTGATAGGAAGTGGGGGAATAAAAGTACCTACCATGGTTTGGTGCCATGGCTGAAGCCCGGGCAGGCTGTTGGCAAGCTGCTGGCTGCGCTGTAGCTGCTGCCTTACCATCTTTGCTGTGACAAAAACACAGACACGGGGGGGAGGATTTCGACTTTATCTGATCTGATGAGTTTTTATCAGGCTGAGTCTTGTCTCCCGTGGAACCTCCTTCTTCCTGCTGTTTAGCTAGAAGGTTAAGAAAGAGGTCAGTAAGGAGGAGTACTGGTGAAAGTAAACAAGGATGAGAAATATAAGTTTAAAACGAGGTAATTGGGCTTAAATACCAAATGTTTACATTTTTACAGACAGAGAAAAACATGTTAGTTTGCTCCAACATGTGCCAGCTGATCTACTAATTATATGACTGTTGTTGTTTTCAGGTTTACATACATCAATTTAAAAACCAGATTTAAAAGTATTACAACAGTAGAAAGTGTCAGAGTGCGTTACTCTTAATGCCTGTCAGATTAATATGGTTCAGGTCAGATTCACTTATGAGGACATTCATAATAACAGACACACAGAAGAACCATAAAAAAGACTAGTAAAGCCTGCAAATAATGAAAAGGTCATCAAAAAAAATCAAAAAGACATTTAAAAGGAGAAAAAGTCAGAACTGTCATGTCATACAAAATATAGTTTTTAAAGGTTTTGATAAGTTTTAGTTTTAATACGTTTTTTGATGAGGACACATCCAACCAGGTGACCTAAGGAAAACCCAGGACAAGCTGGAGGGACTGTGTCTCCCAGCTGGCCAGGGAACGCCAAGGACCTCCCCAAATGGTTGGGGAGAGGGAAGTCTGTAAAAAGTCTCTATGCTTAGGCTACTGCCCTCGCGACCCGACCCTGAGCAGTCGGCTCTTAGTGGATGGATGATCTTTTAGAATAGAATAAACCTTTATTATCCCACGAGTAAGAACCATAATCTGCTCCTCAGTGTCTCTAAGAGCATCTCAGGTTTTTAGGACTGAGTAAAAGATTTGAAAAAATGATAATGATTCAAAAAACAATCAAATCTGAGCTCTAAAATACACAGGCTGCCAAGACAGGTGGGTGTTTGTGTTTGTCTAGAGAACAGAGAAGTGCTGATAAGTCAAGACTGTTGCACAAGTGAAGCCTGGATGAAACAGCAGCACGAATCATCTCAAAGTCAGGAAATGAAAGGAATAGTTCGTCCTTCACAAGAATCCTCAGTTGGGAAAAACAGTTTTCACTCCCGGATATTTTTGTTTTCGTACAGAAACACACACACACTTACCAGCCTGAGCTTGTTGCCAACCCAAAGTGGAGCATAGTAAGGCCAGACTCTTCCCACTGCCAGTGGGACTCTCCAGCAGGCAGTGCTGCCCATGGTTCAAGCCTCGTATGATCTGCAAACACAATTACCCAGGTTATTTTAACCAGGTTAACAGTCCACACTGTAATCTAACTACTGCTAGAGGCTAGAGCAAAACAGTAACCGTTTCAATCACAGAGTGACTTGTACAGAAACTCTCTCACACACGCGCGCGCGCGCACGCGCACACACACACACAAGCGAGCTGACATCACAGCCGTGTGATAAAAAGCAAACAGAACTTACTGAGTTCATCATAGCCAGCTGAGATGGGTAAGGCTTACAGGGAAAGAGGACCTTCACTCCCCCGATAACATACTCAGAGCTGTCGGAAGCCATACTCAACTTTACCACGCTACTCAGCTCTAACCTGCCACGAGCCACGCTTCTACTTCCGGTTAGAGGTCGCATTCATATCATCCCGTTTCTGAATTAGGTTTTTTCTTATTACTTCAAACGCCGAACACAACCAAATAATCATAACATTAGTATTTTCGCGCTTCGTGAAGTGACGTGGTAGCTAGACTTCATCTTCTGTTACCGTCAGTGGTTTGCCACCGAGCATCAAGGTGCGTTACCGCCACCTACTGGACTGGAGTAGAACACTTCACCAACAGCTAATCAAACCAACTAGATCGGGGGTGTCAAACTCAAACTCACACGGGGCCGAAATGAAACTCTAGGACGAAGTCGCGGGCCATACTTAATATTTTTTGAAAAAGTGACAGCAAATTTGCACATTTTCTTTATCAACATAAATGCAATTTTGAACCTTTTAATTTGGAAACAAACTTGTTTTTGCAATAACACTGAATGTGGAATAATCAAATTACATACGAGCAAGTCAATTTTAAATTAAATGCATCAGTGGTATTCATTACTTGTGGTATATTCAGCATTTTGAAAATCTATTTAAGATTTATGTTTTCTTGTTGTTTATTCATTTTTCTTATTTTTTACTCTCCTTTTTTCTCCTGTAATAAGTGTCATCGCTGCTGTGACATCTAGCTTTCCCCACTGAGGAACAATAAAGGGATTTTCTATTCTATCTTAAATGAAAATGCAACATCATTCTCACCTGTTAACTTTCATGTTTTGGAGCAGAAAAAGAGCATAAAACCAAAATATTTAAATCTCAGTTTGCTCCACTGATTCACTGTGATGATCACCTGTTCCAGCCAGATACCTGCATGGGGTTGATCTGAGCTGAGGAGGAGACTCCTGTTGTTTTGTTCATCTTCATCATTATAATGACAACATGACAACAGGTGCTCACATAGCTTTGTGCTGCTGAACATGTCTGAGCAGCTTGACCACGTTGGTGTGTGTTGGGGAGGAAAAATAACAACTACAGCAGCCACAGAGTCATGCTGATATGAGCATGTCACTGCTAGCTAGAGTTCTATGAGCTCTGTCTGGAAGTTAGTTGGAAAACTTTCTCTTTCAGTCGTGAACACATTACTGAATGGTTAAAATCTTCATTTCTGGCCTTCAAAGTCAGAAAATAGCTGAGTAAACTCAGCGATGAGTGAGAGGAGAGTTTAGTTTGTCTGAGACAGCGGAGCTGCGGACACCGGCAGCAGACGCTGGAAAAAATACTAAAGAAGGGGCGCTTCGGCTCTGCGCTAATGCTGCAAAGCCTCGTGGAAGTTGTAGTCTTTGAGGTAAAATCGGCCAGCTGGTCAGTTTTAATATATTTTTAATATTTATCTCGCGGGCCACATAAAAATGCTCTGCGAGCCACATCTGGCCCGCGGGCATTGTGTCTGACATGTGAACTATTCTTCTCCATATGCTTGTGTAGCATCCAGAAATGGTCAGTTTTTAATCTACAGTTGACCTCTTCAATATCCGGTCATATGGAGACATAAGTCTTAACTGGAGCCTTTAATCTGCAATAAAGATACTGTTGCTTGACCAAGGTCCTTCTCAAGTTTCCTCATATCTTCATCTGCTTTGCTTCACAGAACAAGAAGATTTAACTTTTATAAGAACCATTATAATAAATACTGGATGATGCAATAAAATACATAAATAATCATATGGTTGAATGAATTTTAATGGCTGAAGATTAATTTTTTGATGAATCTGTGCTGAAGTTGCTGAAGTTGAAATGAATATTATGTTATGATCAGTAAAGTTTGATTTAACAAATTAATCACTATCTACTGACAGCTCTCACACACACACACACACATGACGATGACAAAGTTAAACTGATCTCATGACACATTGCTTTCCGGTCCACAAATCAGAGCTCCTGTATCAGAGCAAGGTGTTGTCACGTTGCGAGGATGGTTTGGCCCCAAAATGCAGTAACCCAGGACGACACGAGGCAGGAGTTGATATAAAGAAAGTCCTTTTATTGTAGGATGAACAAAAATAAGTCCAAAAAGGCAGGGAGCCAAAATCCAAAAATCCAGAATATGAGAACAGAGCTCACCTAGAGCACAAACTGGGGACAGGACAGGAAGCTCACACAGAGCACCAAAACAACACTGACAAACAACAATGTACTGACAAGACACAGAGACAAGACAGGGCTTAAATACACTGGGGCATAATGGGAGGCAGATGAGCTGCAGGTGTGTGGAGTGTGGGGGCAGGACCAGGTGAAAGCAATGGCTAATCAGGGAAGAAACTAACATGACCTAAGAGTAAACCTAAAAACAGAAAAGCAACCACATAACTAAAATTCTAAAGGGAAGGAGAACTACAAAAACCGGTAGGAAAAACCACACTGAAGAGACTAATAGAATGAACAGCTGAAACTATAAAAACTGTAGAGGGGTGACTGGGGAAGACTAAAGGAACACAGGACCTGAGAGAGATATCTAGAGAGCTGCAAAAAATGGAGACACATGAGGGAGACGCAGACATGACACATGAGGGTGTTAGAAGACACAAAAGGAGAATCTAAAGAGGGATGGAGAACCTCAGGAGACACATGGGGAAAGACGCAGACAGACCATGACAGGTGTGGTTTCTGCTGTTTGTTGGCAAAACCAATTTACATGTCAAAACCTGTCAGTGACTTGATGCAATTTGCTGGGTTCCTTATATAGGAAACATTATTTCTGATTGGCTTAATGAACTGTGAATTGGAATGTTTATTATGTGAAGTGCCTTGAGACGACTCTTGTCGTGATTTGGCGCTATATAAATAAACTTGAATTGAATGTCAAATTCTGATTTGTCAGTAAGTCAAAACATGGCAAATATTAAAACAGAACTCACTTCCTCGTGAGTCAGTGGAGCCTAACTCTGGACTGGCCACCGGAGGAAAGCCCTTCTCCCATTGCATCTTTTGACAAGCTGTCAAAACCTATTGCACGCTACAGCTGACCGCAAATGGTTCCTTCAGAATAAAGCTGAAACAGCTCCGACTCCTCAAGAGTCCATCCATAGACGCAAATAACTACCTGCTGTGACCTGGAGACGTCTCGAGTTCTAGTTTAATGCAGACCAAATTCACTCCCACTCAGAACGCAGTTTCTTCAGATAAGAGGGTTCTGCTATCATCATATTCACACATCATCACACCTCACATTCCATCCACTTAGATTCATCCATCGCATAAAGTGTTTCCTAGTTGTCATGTTTTTAATTTAATAAATTTCTTACTTTTTATAAACCTGACTTTGTCTGAATTCATACGAAGTGTGTTACGATCCCCGAATAAACAAAGAATCCTAATTCTTCTGGTTAAACATTCAAAGATCAACAAGGTTGACATTCTATATTTATATAAAATAATCACATCTTATTGATCACAATTAAAACCCAAAATACATCTGTAGTCTAACTTTGCACTTGTGTTTAACTAACAAACCATTCGTAACTTTTTCTACACTGCCTGGCCAAAAGTAAACCCCAGAATTTAAAACCCCTGGATTTAAAATTCAGCTGCAACAAGTTATTTAACCCAACGGGTGCAACAAGCTGCTTCTCATTTCTTAAACAACTATGTGGAAAGACACATCTGGTGGTCGTGGAAAAGATGTTAGTCTGTGTGAGAAGGGTCAGATTATTGGCATCAAGCAGAGAAAACATCTAAGGAGATGCAGAAACGACTAAAACTGGATTAAGAACTGTCCAGCGCATTATTAAGAACTGGTCTGAGTCCAGATGGACCCTGTTCCAGAGTGGTGGTGCATCGGGGTAAGAAGAGAGGCAGATGAAGTGATGCACCCATCATGCCTAGTGCCTACTCTACAAGCCTGTGAGGGCAGTGCTATGATCTGGGGTTGCTGCAGTTGGTCAGGTACAGCAGCAGGATGTGCTCCAAGAATGAGGTCAGCTGATTACCTGAATGGCCAGGTTATTCCATCGTCCCTGATGGCACGGACATATTCTAAGATGACAATGTCAGGATTCATCAGGCTCAAATAGTAAAAGAGTGGTTCAGGGAGCATGAGACATGGATTGGCCACCACTGAGTCCTGACCCCACTGTGTCATGCTCCTGTTCCTGCTATGCCCGGTTTCCACAGCAACTCCAGCCTGTATCTCATCAGCTTCATCCACTTCACCTGTTCCTGATTCCTCAGCTCATCACACACACCTGCTTCCCGTGCTACTTAAGAACCAGCCATCCAACCAGTCAGTGCCAGATTATTGAACACTCCACTTGGTAAATTTTTGACTTGTTACCTACCTTGTCATCACAGATCCTGAACCTTGCCTCGTCCTCTGACCTTCCTCCTCGTCTTGCCCTTCTTGGATTACCCTGCTTCGTCCCCGACCTCGTATTCGGATTCCCCTGTCTGGCATTCTGCATCTCGGATCTCCTGGTTACAACCCTGCTTGTCTCTAAAGTCTCTGCCTGCTCCCATCATCATCCCTCCCCTTTTTCTAATAAACATTTCATTCTGTATTGGGTGTTTCTTACGGGTCCACCAGTATAGCTTTTGACACACTGAGAATTTTTGGGATGTGCTGGAGAAGGCTTTGTGCAGTATTGTCCAGTTTCACATTTACTTATTTTGTGAGGTGTGTCATTCAGCCCTATTCCAAGTCAAATAACAACTATTCATTCTGGGTTTAGATAGATGATAGATGGACAGATTGTCAGAGGACTCAGAATCAGCAAGGAAATCGTCTCAGTAAGGAAAACCCTGATTGTGACTGAATTTAAACTTTTGAAACGTGTCCTATTTTACAGGATCACCAATACGCCTTTGACCCAATGAAAGGGACACTAAAGTTAGCAGAGTCTCAGATGGTGGAGAGGCTACGCCAGGACCTGAGGAACTCCAGAGACAGTGAACGGAGGCAAAGGGAGAGGCTGGAGTCCCTGATGGATCATTTAAAGGAAATACAAGAGAAGCATAAGCTAGACATTCTCACTCCCTCCTAAAGTAAATATCACAACTTCTCCATTAACACACATAGATCCAGTCGGATCTGTCTTCTGTTGGACACCATGGCCATCAGGAGGCATGTTCAGAACGGCCAGCAGCACTCATAAAACCACAGTATAGGTGGAGCTGGTGTCAGCGGAGGGAAGTACTCTGAAGATTTTACTGTCATGGATGTGGCACTGAAGCTGTGTGAGACGATGAGTCGCATTTACCCAACGTCATTGTTATCCTAATCTGACGCCAAGGCAGCCTTGAACTGCCAACAACAACCCCCACGAAGGAAGGAATGCAGACAGAAGCTGTGGAAACCCGTGCTCACCCCCCCACCCCCCCCACCCCCCCGCCTTCAGATTGTGGACTTCTGCATAGCGAGGCCATCAATCTGCGGGAACTCAATGTGCTCTGCGCTTCTCCCTCCCTCCTGCAGATACAGCTGGCCGAGCGCTACACACAGCTGCTCGCCCCCTGGGGAAACAGGATTGGTCAGTCTGATTGTTGCACTGGCTGGGTTGAAATGGCACACAGAAGACGGAATGTACAGGAAGATGGCTTCATATCCAGGGCCCTAACCGGAACCAACGGTGTCCCTCAGGGGTCAGTCTTAGGATTTCTCCTCCTTCTGCTTCCTGACTAACATTACTAGTGCTGGGTTTTATTTTTGTGCTGCTGATATCATCCTTTCTGCTCCTAATCAGCTGCAGCTATACAGTTAAACTTCTCTGGTCTGTTTGAAACGTGGAAAACGAAACACAAGTCAGAGCCAAAAGTTTGTACAGTTTTTATTTTATTTGCTAAACCTCGTGGAATGACGTGTTTCCAAAGAGACCTGAATAGAAGATCTGATCTCTAAAGGAGTTCGTAGGCTGTAGACGTCTCATCAGACCCTGATTAAATGTTGATGTGAGTCAGTGATGGTGCAGTCCTACGTATCCATCCCCCGATCTTCTGGTTCCACCCGTTCCACCGCCAGAGACAAAGGGGATGGCAGCAAGTGATCGGATGTGGTGAGGAGGTGATTGCTGCCTTGTTTTCAGCAGCTCGGCTGACTCCTCCCACTCCTCACCTGTAATTTCAACCTACGACCTGTTAGCCAGAGCATCACGTCACAAGAACAGCTTCTTCCCATCAGCTATAAAACTCACTAGAAGTCTCTGATAAAAAAAAAACTAAGTCCTCATTTCTGTTTGTGATGTCGCTCTCTTATCTTGCACGTGGAATTTTTGCACTTTTCTTCACATAAAAATGTCCTTGTTGAGTGGCAGTTGTGTGCGTGAACATTACTACAAACCTGATTCTGATTCTTCTTCTGTTGTGCAGTCTCCGGTGGAAAAGAGGTGTTTAAAGTGTAGAAGTCTGAAAGGTCAGAGGTCACTAGAAGCAAGCCTGGTTTGATGAAATCAATCATTCACACAGACGTGTTCAACTTTCCATCCAGATCTGTTACACCACATTAAAGATCCTCTCTCATGTCCAACTTTTCATTAAAAATATGATGGTTGATGTTTTTGTTTGTTCTCACTTGTACAAAACAAACACGTTTATCAAAATGTGCTGCATTAAAATCCCAGCTCAGTTTGTTCAGAAGTAACAATCAATCACTTCATTAAAGACACAAGAAGTGTCATGACTCCCAATCTTTCACCCTCCTCAGCCTTCATGCAGCACACCTGGTCCCCTCATCAAGCCCCAGCCAAGCCCCGTTTCCCTGGCAACCACAATCAACTTCATTCATCCCACCTGTTCCTGTCATCACATCATCCTCCACACCTGGTTACTCTGCCATTTAAACCCCAGCCAGCTCTTCGACCATCTACAGATTATCGAATGCTTCTTGCCAGTAAATGCTCCAGCCATTACTCACCTCGCCATCGAAGATCCAGAACCCTGCTCCATCCCCGTCTTCGCCTTTTGGAATTCCCTGTCGGACAATTCCCACCTCAGGCTTCTGCTAACTCCACTCCTAATAAAGACTTTATATTTTACTCTTCCTGTGTTTGGCGTCATCACGAGTCTTCCGAGTTCAGTTCGTGACAAGAGGGTCCTAAACAGATAATAAAAACATAAATAAATAAAACAGGTATAAATACATGCAAGCTGTTTTCAGCTCACATAAAGTTTAAGATGCTAATAATTCATGTTAGAATAAAACATGACAGAACTCAGTGGAGGGTTTGTCAGGGACAGGATTATACTGTTCTGAGTCCCTTAAACTACTCCGTCTCACTGCAGGGCTTGTGGGAACACCCACACTAACAAACATTCTGCTTGCACGGTACCCTCTTGGCATTCTAAGCATTGTCCTCAACCCATCATTATATGCAAGAGTTTCCTCATGCTGCTTTGCTTATAATGCTCCCACAGGTGGGCAGTGTAGGGGTACCATATGCTTTAAACAGTGCAGCTTTCACAGGTACAGAAATCTGCGTGTCTGTGTGTTCGCCTGCGCATAACATAGACGGCACCGTCTGTAAATGTCCACATCGTCTGTCAGGTCAGCAGATATGTGATGTCCCAGATATTTAATCACAGTACATTTAGAACAGATAGAAGGAAATCTGGGAAAACCAGCTTACTGTCCTCCTTACTTCCCACAATTAAAATACGGCTTTTTTTTTGCCTTAAAATTGATGTCAAACTCTGACCCATGCTGAGAGCAGACCGTCAGTAACTGCTGAAAGTATGGGCAGAAGATCACCAAATCATCTGCATACATTTATGGGCCATTCCCATCTGTACCGGGTCGGCCCGGGCCGGGTAGCCCCAGTTGGCCCCAGCCTGGCCCGGTTGATTCCACACATCCTTGCCTTAAGCCCATGTGGGCTGATTCTACCCACCAATCAGAGGCTTGCTCTAATGGAAGGTGTGAATTTGCTGTCAGCAGTGGGTGTGTTGGCCCTGGTCGGCCTGAAGCAGACCCCCTCGAGAAGAGGGCTGAGAATGAGCCTTGGTTGGCCCGGAAAAATACCAGGCCACCCAGATATGTAAACAACCTACGCTACCCGGCCCGGGCAGACCCGGTACAGATGGGAATGGCCCATTATTGTCCCACCATCCACACATCCAGTTCTGCAGTCGTTAAGCCGCTTCGACAGATCGTCCATATGGACAGTAAAAAGGAGACAGAATACTTCCTTGTCCAACACCAGTACAGAAAATCTTCCACCAGTAACAGAGATGCTATTTTTATTAAAGCAAGAACAAAATATGAATACAAACATTCACTCTGCTTCATTTTATTTAAATAGGTTTATTTTGAGATAAGTGTGTTTTACATTTATACTGTACACATGCAGCTGTTAGTACGAACGAAGGTTGTGAAGAAAGGAGTAAATAAAGGTTTAGTGAGGTTTGTTAAGAACACCACAAAAACATTAGACTGGAGACTGAGCGCATCAAACCTTTATCCTATGGAGACACAGACTATCATTAATCCACAGAACGCTGCTGGAAAGCAGACTCATCTGACAAATCAAGACTTTTCTGCTCAGGCGGCTAAAGTCACATCTCCGGTTCTTCAGTGAAACGGGCGGCAACACTTCACACTTCGCTCGTTTAAAAACCTAAATCGGTCACATCTCCGTTCAGGGGTTTGGCTTCGCTCTGCAAGCGCCACGCAGCTGAGGGAGGGAACACCAAGAGCTAGAGGCCGGACGATATATTCAATTTTCTCTATCGGTCGAAATTATCTTTACAGCCAATATAAGAAAATATTCAGGCACCTGTGTGGCCAACTGCCGTCACTAATAGACTGAAGAAAGGTCCCTAAACACAACATAGTTTTTTTTTATGTTTTGAGTTTGTTTTGATTTGAAGTTCAATAAGTATTGAGATTTATTGACTTATTGAATTTATATTGCACACAGTGAGTGTTCAGTTGTCTTTCACAATCAATGTGCTGCTAAAATGTATATCGGCCTTAATAATCAGCTTTAGATATCGGCCATCTGCAACAACACTCTTTAAAAATCTGCATCGGCCTTAGAAAAAAACATATTGGCCGGCCTCTACAAGGAACAGCTCGTCTTATTATTACCAGACATTTTCCTGTTGCTGTGTTCTAGTTTAATCATCCTTTCTTAATCTATTTCTCTAATTCGTCCCTTTTCTATTACAATTTTAGTGCAAAACATTATCTTGGGAAACCTACAAACTCACATAATACAACTAGAGCTGCAGCACACTGACTTTCTATACACACACGCACACACACACACACACGCTGCAGCTATATTAGAAGTCTGGCAGCACAATTAGGTGCTAACATTTTAATTTGAAATCGGATTTCTCTGAACCAAAGGAGGGCCGAGTGGTCAGTCCACCTAAATGTTCAGTGGGAGATTCAGGAAAAATCTGCTGTTAGAAATAATCTGACCGGCAGAAGGCATTGTTGGAGATTATAAATGTGTACAACAGGCTGGGGTTTACACGTTTATAATCTGCAGGCTTATTCGATAAAAACTTAGTTAAATGGAAGAGGGGAAGCTTTCCCAAAGATGCCCCGTGCAATAAAATAAAACTTCATCAATGCTAACCTACGCAGGTCAAATGAAAATGACACATACTTCCATATAATACACAACACACTAGCTCACCGATTCGTGACCGTAGCAGCACCATCAGTTACGATTCACAACACAATTCCAGAGATTAAATCAAATCGAGCTCTGCACATGACGGAGCGACGGGTTCAGGCTGAAAGCAGAGGTGGAGCTCCTGTGTTGATCACCCATCATCACACAATAAAACCATTTATAAAAATAGATTTGCTTTACATAAAGAGTTCTTCTTATTTAAATACTTGGCTATAAAACCCATAATATTTACCCAGCCACACGATTCATCCTTCATTCGTGCAGGACTTAAGAGACAGGTGAAGTACGGCAGGTTGAATACTCTGTGAGTAGGATCTAAGAGGCTCTGTCCACTCAAGTGCAATAAGAAAATGACCCGCTAGTGATTTAGGGCAGAACATGAATGAGCTTTTAGGTTTTACTCTAGCCGCTCCTAGTCCTGGTGTCTCTGCCTGGAGTCTACGGTTCTGAAAAGACCCGTAAGACGTCAGAGCACCATGTTTACTTTTGTAAACACAGTGCTACACGTGTGCGTCCCTTCTGAAGCTGCTGCAGAACTGTAACAGACTAAATGAAGATCAACTGATGAGGGGAAGCTTGTTTAGGCTTGAGCTCACTGCTTCCTGTCTCCTCTGGACAGCAGAGTCTGATCTGGATCACAACACGATGCAGTGTGAATGTAGCCCAACTCCGGCGCAAGCTAACTGAAACAGAAAGTTTCATGTTCTCTGCAGACTCTCAGGTTTAGGCTGTGATGGTGCACAACGCGGATGTGTGAAACCCTACAAGGAGCATGTGTGGACAGCCAGGTGTCGTTACCCAGTCCTACACACTGCTTCACTGGTTTCTCATCAACAGAAAAAGGAAAAAACAAAGATTCCTAAAGGAAAACATCTTAGCACCGCCCTTAAAGGGATATTCCACCCAAAAGGGAAATTTTCTCTGTTGACATACTTCCCAGAGTTAGTTAAGCGGGCTGGTTAAAAATGTTTTTTCCCCAGTCATTCTCCTGACCCAGCTGTACCCCTTTAGCTTAGCATAAAACACAATAAGTGAATGGATCCAACTAGCATTGTAAGTAAAAAAAAAAAGTCTTTAAAAATCACTGGGTAGTGATCCCAATTCTGCATGGTGACCTAAATAATCAGACCGACCCCAAGCCAAAATAATAATGTTTATGTTTATTCATTTAGCAGATGCTTTTATCCACAGCGACTTACAATTAATAACCTATAGGGCATGTTGTGATAAGTAAGTAGTATGTAGCATAATCCTAGTTGGATCCATTTACTTACTGGGTTTTATGCTAAGCTAAAGCTACAGGAGTACAGCCGGGTCAGGAGAACGACTGGGCTTGTTAAAAATTGTTTTTTCCCACTTAACTAACTATAAATATAAATATGCCAGACAAAATTTCACTTTTGGTTGGAATATCCTTTTAAAGAAAGGCCGCACATCAAAGGTGTGTGTGTGTGTGTGTGTGTTTGTTTCAGCACACACACACGCTGGTCTTGTTATGCTGCTGGAGAATGGGGGACACATTGTTCGATTCCTTCTGTTTCTTCTCTGCGTTGTGCTGCACCAACGGCGGTCTGTCACAAGTCCTGCGTTTGGCTTTCTTCAGCAGTAATCCTGATGAGATGGCTCCATTACTAGTTCTTTTGCTGCCGACTGTCCTGCCAGTCACTGAACTGGGGTAACTGGGAGAGTCAGTGCTGCTGCTGCTGCTGGGACACAGCGGTGCAAAAGGGTCAGACAGACTCATGTGGAACAGGCTGTTGCTTCCTGATAATCCATCGCGTCTCTCCAGAGGAGGAAGAAAGTCACACACGGCAGCGGTAGAGTCTTCGTCCTGAGGCCGCTGCAGGAGGAGGAAACACACGACTCAAACACAGTCCTTACACACTTTAAAACTCAAAACAACCTTTGAAGCATTTGGGAGAAAAGGATCGAGCATTTTTATAAATGAACAAAGCTCATAGTCTTAGAGGACTCAATATCACCTGAAGGAGAGGGGTGTCTGCTCTGGATAGGGAGGTGGGCGGAGACTGGGACACCTGGGCCAGGTCGAGCAGCACTTCTTCATGATGAAGTGTTTCCTGTGAGGTTCCTGCCTCTAGCAGGGCAATCACAATGGCACTGGTGTTGTCCGCACGCAGCATCCTCTGGCGCCATCGCAGCAGAGCATGGCTGACCAGCTGTCGAGCACTCGATACCTCACGCGGAGCCTGCAGCGCAGACACGTCTCGTCAGACGGACCAGCTCTCTGGTTTACGGAGGGCCAGTCACCTTCACATGTGCTAATTTAACCTTCAATCTACACAGGCAGCTAGACGGCTTCAAAAAATACAGAGAAAGGTCCAACATTTACCATTTCATCATCATTGTTCTGACACATGGAGATGGCCTCCTGCGGGGGAACCATATTCCACAGACCGTCGCTCCCCAGGATGATGTAGCGATGTTTTCTGGGGTCGAGTATCACCACGTCAGTGTCTGGCTCTGGAGACACCACAAACTCCCCACTGTAAAAGTCATAGCTCCACAGGTCACCTGTTGGTAAACAAACATAACATTGCTTTCTTCCTCGCTGGCTTGCTTAACGCGTTGGCGACATTTCAGGAATGAAATCTGACGACTGAATGTGAGCAGAGTAAGGAGCAGGGGGCCAGAGTTAACCTGAGGGAACCGTTTATGAAGGGTTTCCTGACCTAAAGCTCGGGCTACTGCCAAGAAAGGTATCTGGTCAATCACGGTGCTCCGGCGAACTGGGCCGTTGTGACAGAGCCTCGGCCTCTTCCAGACCACCCGGTTCACTCCCGACTTCTTGATCACGCTGCCAGGAGAAATTAAAACACAAAAGCTTCCATTTGTACCAACAAAGTCACACAGACTCCAGAACGTCAGACCTAGACCTTACGAGTGGAGCAACACTCCTTCTCCTGAGAGGCATCAGCTTTGAACTGTGGTCTGTAAAATGTGAGCTTTCTATAATCTACCCAAACATATAAAAGAACTCGGTTCATCAAACTCCTCACTCTGGGTAAGACCTTTGCCGTGTTTGATCGAGAGTAAAGGCAACATTAAACCGAGAATTTAAACATGCCTTTAAAGTGTGTATTGATCATTTAAATGGTTTAACACACCATCTCTGTCCCCTTAAGCCAGCAGTAATGAAGCAACTGTCCTGTTTCTCAAAAATGACCATCATGTGATCTTCTGTAGCTCTTCACACACACGTTTGCACAAGGCGGAGTCTGGGCCTTGGGAATTTGCATCACAAGGGCTAGACTCCAACTTAAAACTGATGACATAACAGCAAACTCTAACCATCAGCAAGTTCCCTAAAGAAAAATGCCAGGAAATCCTTCAGAGATAGGAAGCTGGCCAAGCAGGATCACTCTTACAGTAATTGTTTATTTTTCCTGGATTGTTAAGGTGACAATGTGTGCTGCTGACAAGCTCTGAAACTTAATCTAATCATTAGATTAAACCAGAACATCACTCTTTGTTTTTTGTTTAATAAAGTCTAACCTTTGAAACAGACTTACCTCCCCCCTAGACCTTCGATGCGTTCCCGCTCTCTTGGTAATTCAGGTTTGTGGTCTTCTGTGACTTCCACAGCTTTTATAAAAGGGACTGACGGGTCATCTTGGACCCCCAGAACCACTGCAGAATCTCCAACATGGGCCACATACATGCGGTTTCCTCTGAGGACCACAACACTTGCCGTGGTTCCTGATGTACTCGGGAGGCCTGTGAGGGTTTTGGGCCATTCAGCTGGGAAGACAAGAGAAATACATGCCAACTTCCTGTTTGCTGTTAATAAGGGACCTGACACCTACTAGCATATCAAAATGCCTCTAAAATGTCAATAAACTGAATCCTTTTAGGGATTTACTTTGGTTTGTGCTGAAGACTTCACCAGACATGCGCAGTTGAGACTTTAGCCTGTCATGCGCAGTCTAGAGCGAACAGACTGTGACCTAGACAGCCGACATGCCCCGGCTAGTCCGGGTACATCTATGTCAGTGCGGCAAACCCGTCAGTGACTAAACAGACTTAATATAAATAAAAAATAAACAACATTTGTGATTTACGAAACGAGGAAAAGACTAGCGACCATTGGCTGTCTGAGCTTAGCATGCCGTGTAGCTCCGCTGAGCTAGTGCATTGTTCGGAGAACAGGGCTCTGAGCTTGGATATTTATTTAAAATGCTGTATTTATAAAAATGCACGTATTCATACTTAGAATCGTGTCAAAGTACAGTATGTACACATTAGTCTGCGCTGCTTTTCAGTCATTTGAAAGGTTCTACCATGGCCGTAGAACCTTCGAGCTAACAGCGCGGTGCCCACGCTGCTTGATACTGAATCCTAGCGCTATACTAGTGCCTTACAAAACTACAGGAGAACATCAAGTATAATTAATGACTGACGGAAGATTTTGTTACAAATCTATATACTCACGCAGCTTTTTCCACATAGCATGATGGCAGGCTACAAATCCTTTGCGTATAGCCGAGCAGACCTCCTGGTCGCAGTCGGACCAGAACCCCCGCTGCTTTTTGATTAATTCCCAAAGATAGTCTCGTGCAAACTGTGCAGCCTCGCGACCTCCATGGCCGTCAAACACCGCAAAGAATGCCACGGACCGGCGGGAGCTAGTCGTGCTACTCGGCAAAGCCTCTCGGGGTGGTTTACCATTTCCCTGTAAACACGTCTCCACATATATTTTTCGGCCTTCAGTTCGCACTGGGTCGTCGGATGCCTCTGTGACCTGCGGAGATTCCACGGTTCCGTCTTTCGGATCTGGCTCATTGTCTTTGTTCAGAGAGCTGGAGGTACCATCAAACCCCGCACTCTCCCCTCGCTCACCCGCAGTCGGCTCTTCCTCTCCCGGCTCGGGCTCGACTATTACCTCGGTGACGTCCTCCATGTATTTTCTGCCTCCTTGGTCTGTAAACACACTTACTCGCATCAATAGGGCGTTCTCCATGACTCCAGGTAGAAGAAGCGGTCTAGGTGTGTTACCACATATATTATAGCAGGAAAGCAGAGTTTAATGCAGAGCCACGTCTAGTCTTTGTTTATGTTCAGGCGTAGTAAGCATGCCCAGACAAAACGCGTTTGCGTCACAGTTTACGTGACGCCCGGTGTGACCGGTGTCGGTGACACCGGCAAGCCGTTTCACTTCAACCCCCGTCGAAATAGTGGTGGCGTAACATAATAGCAGCGTTTTACCCGCGAACTCATGTTTGGAAATCAAAAACAAGATTACAGACTGCAGGAATAGTTTAAAGTTTACCCTAAACAAGCGTTTTTACTAATAACAGTTTACTAATTAGAAACGAGAACGTGAAATGAGAGTTTATCCTACGAATTATTCAGCTTCTCCTTTCCGCAATGTTCATTCTTGACTGGAAGAATGCATTTGTAGATACGGCGCTATAAACCTATATGAGCAGGATATGTGACATCTTTGTCCTCGGAAAAATACATGTCAGCTATCTGAAATGGTCTTTACGGTATTATGGATATCTGGAATGCTAATTTCTGCTAGGAACACCATTACAGATGTACATTTCCAGTCTTCTTGATAAATGTTAAAATGGCTTGCCATAACTGTCAACGCCGTTGCCCTCCACAGGGTGTTCCAGATGTTTGAGAACCAGCTCTTGTATGAACATGACCTAGCTAGAGGCTTCGGTATAAATCAACACATACAACACACACACACACACACACACACACACACACACACACACACACACACACACACACGAGAGAGAGAGTAATGTGTCTGAAGTCCAATTATAGATTTATGCGTATACTTTTTTCATTCGAATTTGAGCGAATAGCAGCTGTTTACCTTTTACTATAGCCTGCAAGGGCAATAGTAAAAAATAAACAGCTGCCATACAAATACAGGCAATTTACCATTTAGCTGTGTTTTAGAATTTGTTAGATGAGTACTGTATAATAGACAGTGTGTTTATTTCACAAATATTTATGTTTAAATGTGGGACTTATATACAGTATAATGCCTTCTTCAGACGTTGTGGATGCAAATGTTTTTGCTCATGATACTCTGGTGCATCTATGACACATCCATATTGGTGCTTCTGTCTCTCTCCACTCCTCTCAGAACCAAGTAAATTTTAGGAATTAAGAAATATTTTAAAATATTTTGCCAGGATCTTTTTCAGGATCACAGAAAGGGAGACAGAAGGAAGAGGAGATAACAAGGATTAAATGGTAAATAACCTGTATTTGATATAGTGCATACTGGGGTTCTACTGTCAGACTCGAAGACTGGGTTCGGGAGTAAGAGCTTTTATTAGAGACTGCTGGCTGCAAGCGGTGCTGAAAAGGCTGACGGAAGGATGAGGTCTGAGTTAGAAAGGTGGAGGTTTAACTGTCTTAGCTTCTGAATACCCTGATCATGGAACACGGTGGAACGCTGACTGAGTGAAGAGCCGGTGTGGCGTCTTCCATATATAGACATGATGACGCAGGTGCAACGTGGAGGGAATCCCCGCGAGGGGCATGCTGGGTAATGGTCCGAGACAGAAGCCGGTCAGCTGGGAGAGCCCGGCCTGGGGGCTTGGACTCTGACATCTACAACCCCCCAAGGTGCTTTACAACACAACCAGTCATTCACTCATGAACACACACCTTCACAGGTGGTGATGAGCTACAACATAACCACAGCTGCCCTGGGCCACACTGACATAAATTAGGTTGCCGAGCACTGGTTCCACCACTTTCTCTCACCACCATCAGCAGGCAAAGTGTCTTGACCAAAGACACAACTGCGATGGATGTGTCCGGTCCTACCTCTCTGGGAGTTATCTCTCTTTTAGGATGAGTGGGTTTTTGTCAGTAAGTACTGACCTTCAGTTGGGGGTATTGCAGGGATCAATTCTTGGTCCCCTGCCTTTCTCTATGTAACTTAAGCCCCTAGGTACCCTTTTTCACAAACACAAGGTTAAATTTCACTTACCGGTATGT